GAGCTTATTGGGAGGTGATGGTTGTCTCCGAGCAATGTTGTTTATGATATTTGTTTCAAGTGAGGTTTTTAATTTATTGCCATAATTGATAAGGAATGTTAGCTGTTAGCATCATATAATTTGAGATACAAAGTCATAATTTATAGATATGACTAAAAATTAAATCATTATTTTTGTTTCTTGAATATGATTGAGGGGAGAGGGGGGATCTGCAAACTTATGATATTTACTTGTCTAATATTTTAGTTTTACAATCACATCAAAATATATGTACATAATAATATTAATTTCACTTTAGAAAATTAATATTTTTGATAGATTTGTTCATATATGTAAAATAATTCAATGATTTTAAAATTATTTTTAAAATATTCCTAATAATAATAATATTAACCCTTATATTCATAGTATTTAAGAAAGTACTACTATTGCTCAAAATTATTAAATCAAGCGTAAGATATCGTACTAAATACTGAACTTAATGGAAATTTAAGATAGTCTTCTCAAAGATTAAGAAAACTGTTGATAATTTGCATAATTTTTTATTCTATAAGCATGCTTAAGGCATCAAAGTTGAAAGTCATTATGCTATAAACATTTCCCATAATTCTATTAAATTCACATATCTTATATCTAAAATTTGTTATTGACTTATCTAATACTTTAATCTCACGATTACATCAAGTCATATATATGCAAGAAAATGTATACACCAAAGAAAACTGGTGTGATTAGTATTTTTTAGGTAATATTAAAGATTTAAGCATTTGATATGTCAATATATAAAGAATTGTGTAAATTTCCCAATTGCATGTACTTTTACCCACAAATATAATTAGCCATTTAATAACTGCCCATGTTTGAAAAAAATAATTATGGATTTAAAGCTATAAGGAAGATTTTTTTTCATAATAGTAAGTTGTTGATTAAAGAGACCTTTTGTCCCACATGTGGAAAGGGTTACAAATTCTTTTGAATTATAACGTCTATGCACGAATGATCTCGTCATAAGGAAGAGGCGGCAACTGGCTAACAGGTGGTGGTTGATGGTGGTCGGCAGTGGTCGAAGGTGATAGGAGTGATGTTAGACTTTAGTTCTTCTCAAAATTTTAAGCTTTTCCTCATTCCTTAAGCTCTCCTCTACATCTCAAGAAAGAATTAGAGCTCTTTTTATAGAGTTTTGAGTGTAATTAATGTAGAAATTTAAATCTTTTTGATCAGATGGTATGGAGAGCTTTTGTTGATTAGCCGACATTTGAAGAACATTTTAGTGTCTTAACAACATCGAAATTGAGCGATCTTAGGCTTGTTGAATTTGTCTTGTCAACAAGTTCAATTCGATTATTAGCTATCTAGATTTGACATTCATTTGACATTTCCAATATGTCCCAAAAACTTCTAAAAATAGTTTAATGTCTTGATCAGGACTTGATTTAACTCAGATTGAACCAATTTTGGCATTATGTTCGTCTTGTTGAGCGATTAGTTTGACTATAAGTTTGCTTAAATCGGATTTCTAGATGACTTTCTAATAAAATTTGAATATTTCTTACTAAAAAAGGTGGATCGAGATCCGTGACAAGACTTTAGATGAAATTTGTTTATGATATATCTGTTGCCCCTCTATTTTCTGACGAAACCAATTTTATCGTTCGACAATATTAGAATATGGACTTCTTTATATATATAAATACTAAAATAATAATAATAATAATAATATGTACTTGCAACGTTTTGTTCGAAGCGGTGGGGAAAAATATTACATCAGCACTCCTAACGTAGAGCTATGTTCGGATTGAAATATCCGGCTGTGTTACGAAAATATCTGATCTGTGTTATTTGTAAAATTGATGTGTTATTCGAGTATTATATGGTGCTATTCGATTATTTTTTGCGGTGTTATAAAAATATTCCCATGCTTTATTTAATTTGGGGTTGTGTTATTCGATATATTTCCCGTGTTATTTCAATTTTCACTATGTTTTTAGAATAACACAACCTCAAATCAAGTAATGCGAGAGAATATTTCAATAACACTTCAGCCCCTAATCAAGTAACGCGCTGGAATATTCCAATAACACCGCTCCAATAACACTGCAAAATAATCAAATAACACCATAATAATACTCGAATAACACATCAATTTTACAAATAATGCAGATGGGATATTCCTATAACACAGCCGAATATTTCAATCCGAACGTAGCTCTACATTAGGAGTCCAGATGTAATGTAATATTTTTCGAGCATTAGAGGGTTGATATAATACTAAAATAATAATAATAATAAATGTACTTGCCAGTTGCCGCGTTTTGCTCCGGGCTGAGGGTTGATCCATTCGTGCAAAGAAAACGTGAAGGAATTCCTTCGTCGTGTTTCTTTTGGGCTGATGTGGTGGGCCCATGATGGCATTTACATTTATTTATTTATATGCTTAACGCGGACAGGCAGGAATTCGAAAAAAAATTTATTTATCACTATTAATTTTTTGTAATGAATTTGGAATGTAAGACGAAGACCAAGATTTTGTTTTTTATTTTTTATTTTTTGCACATTTTATTATTATTTTTTATTGGCTGAATTTATTCTTGGTTATTAATATGAGTGAGTTTTAAACATATAAATATGAAAGAAGTGGATGGTGGAGGTGGAGTCCTCGACTTTGTCTAACATAAGATTTAAGATTTTTCAGAAGAAGAAAGTCGTCCTCGCCCTGCATAACAGATTAACAACAAGATCTTGTTTCGCATTGAGGTGCAAAAGATAGATGTTCTTGTCCTGTGTAGAAGGCAATTAAAGAGATCTTCTTTCACGTATTGGTGGAGAAGAAAGTTGTTTCAAACATGTGTAGCAAGAGATCAACGTTATTTTCTTTAACATTGCGATGCAAAAGAAAGTTGTCCCCGTCCTGCGTTCAAAGAGATATTCTTTCATGTTGCAGTGCAAAAAAAAAAAAAAAATCATCCATATCCTGCGTAGCAGTAGATCCCCGAGATATTCTTTTGCGCCGCTGAGTTGAAGAAAATTATCTCTTTTCCTACCCAACGGAAAACTCATGATCTTCTTGCTTGTAACTGCTGCGCATTTCGGCAGAGATGAAGAAATGTTGAAGTTTTGACGCTACGCTTTGAGGAGAGATTTTTGTGTTGTTGTAGCGAAGATATCAGAAGAATCTCATTCTGTTGAAGATCAGCCGAAGTACTAAAATTTCAGAGAGGCGATGCTGGCCTAACTCAAAAATGAGCTAACTTATTGTAGTCATTTAATTGTCTAATGTGACATTTGTACATGAAGATGATGTGTTTGTATGTACATTCTTTTTAAAGTAATATAATTTTTTATGTTGCTTTACTCTCTTTTGGGATGTTGTGACTTCTCCATAGTGAAGATTATTGCAATTAAAGTGAGCATGTACATTTTATAAAAAAATCACGTACCTTTTAAGGATTGTTCCTTCTTGGGCTTATGCCTTCTAGGAGTTTGAAATATGCTGTTGTACATGTGCCTTTTAAGGCTTGTAGCGTTCTGAAGTATTTTATGTACTTGTGCCTTCTAAGGTTTGTATTCTTCTGCTGTATTTAAGTGCAGCCTTTGTCAATCACTTGTTATCTTGAAGTCTTTCTAGTCAAGTTGAGCATAGATATTGATCTACCTCTTGCCATAATTTGATTCAATAGAAGAGTTTTAGTGTTGTCAACATCTCACTTACACCTTGAGATTCTTTTTCAAGGGCTGAGAACTGTCAATAACATATGCCAAGAAGCATCTAAGAGGACCCTCTCGTCAGAGAATGAGCTATCTATTGAATTATGGTGATTCTTCACCCTTAGTCCGATAGTCTAGTTTCATTCTGCCAATGGAGCCCCTCATCGAGAGATCAATAGCTGGCAACCACACTAGAATAGCTGATTAATAAATCCAAGTCGATCGAGTAAAGACTTGCCCACCCGAAGACTATCAAAGGCCGATCGACAATCTTGATTCAGCATAGTGGGACGAACAAGTCTTTTCAAACTGAGATCCATTGCTTTCAGCCGACGAGTCAGAGGGTTGCCGAGTCGTAGTCCCATATATGCAAATTACCTAAAATATCTTGTAACACCCCTATTAAAATAGAGACAAACGTGTAATTTCTTATATGGTGCCTTCTCCTAGTTAAATAGAAGAATCATTTTATGAGAAATTGTTAATCAACAAATCATACTTATGTTCACTATTATGCACTTTCTTCTCTCTATCACTCTCTTATGTCTTACGCTCTGTTTATTGAATGCGATTCATAGATAAATCAGCATTCCACATGTGTTATATTTGATATTTGATTGATTAGAGATATGCTCCAGTCGTTGACTACATGAGATAGGCCCGTCACATCATTGACTTAATTTCCCCTCTTTGCATGATAATGTCTAATTAGACTTCTGTCTTATCTGTTGTGGATAGCTTGCGGGATAAAAAAAAGTAGATGTTAGAAAAATCATTGCTATTATTTGGTCAATAAGCGTGCAAAAATTCAAATATAGGGGATTTTACGTACATAGCATACTTTTTTTTTATTTACATCTGTCATACAAAAACTTTATATTTACATGCAAACCACTCAAATCCTTAACATCATATAAAAAAATACCTCCATCACTATTTCTCGAAGTAAAGTATAGTTTTTTCATATCAAACATTGAAGGTTAGATATGTAAATATATAATGGTTATGTTGGCTATATATGTAAATTTTACCAAGTAAAACCCTTTCATCAAAAATTATAACGACGACATGAATGATTCTTTCCGAATGACTGCATCAATTAAAACACAATGCATTTCCAGACCATTTCATATTAAAAAAAATAAAGATAATAATAGATATTATTTTCATTGTTTTTGTTTTTTTTCAAAATCATGGCAGGTCCTTCTGCACAATAAATAGAAGGGAGCAGAAAGCAGATAAGATCATAGCGACTAAAAGCCCAGCTTCCATCATTCTAAAAGAAGTCTTTCATCATGGCTTTCAATAATGCATCAGCTGGAAGTTCAGCAACTCTCCTTTCCTCTTCTATCCTACTGCTCCTCTTCGCATCATGCTTCACCACAAGCCTAGCCAATGTTCTAAAATCTGGTGAAGAACTTTCCAGTGGGAATTCCTTATCAATCTACGACTATAAATTTATAATGGAGAAAGATTGTAATTTAGTGTTATATGACAAAAATATAACTCTCTGGTCGTCGAACACCGCAAAAATGGGCACGCACTGTAAATTGCGTTTGCAAGATAATGGTGAGATGAACATCTTCGCTGGTACGAACAGCGTCTTGATATGGAGCAGTGAGACAGGAGGGGCATATGGTAAATACGCACTTGTGCTCCAACCAAATGGTAATGTTGTGGTCTATGGATCTCCACTGTGGTCTACCGGTGCACGTATTCCTAAAGATTAGCCATGACTTTTCTATATATGATGTGCCACAAGTTATTTCCTTCGATCATCTGCTTGTGTTTTCTTAAATAAGCGTTCTCAGCGCCTTCGTATGAAGGTAGATATCACCTCTATGTTTGTTGAGAGAAAGTAGTTGTTTTTAGTTTATAGGGAGGTGATGGTTGTTTCTGAGCAATGTTTTTTATGATATTTGTTTTCAGTGTGGGTTTTTATTTTTTTACCAGAATTGATAAGGAGTGTTAGACATGAACATCTTCCATTAGTTTAGAAGAAGAATTTGCCTAATTACTACTTTTTGCAAGTGAAGGAGTGTGTATGTTAAAATGAAGAATAGGTAAAGCAATGGTAGTAGGAAGTGTCACGGGTGGTTTAATCCGATTCCTAATAGCGTTATGATCCATTGGGATACTCTGTCTGGTATGCAAATGCGAATGACTTCCACCATGATTAACAGGATGAACTGGAAGAGGGGGTTTGTAGTTGGGAGATTTGGGATAAGAAGCATGTTTATGAGCAGAGGCGTCACAAACTTTTCAAGGAAAAGGGTTCCAATCATTGATGATTGGTTGTTTTGCATCTATACCACTCACAGATATTAAAACAAACTTCAGTAAAGCATAATTGGTTGAAATTTGATCACTAAATCTACCAGAAGCAAGTACAGCCCTTAGTCATAAGGGGATCAACATGCATAGGGATTCCAACCTTACCGACAATTTTAAAAATCTCAGTTTCTAACCAACAACAAAGTGGAAGATTATGGAGTTTAATCTAGATACGCATTTCTTTGAAATCCTCCTTAACATGGCTAAAATCAAGAGTCCACCCTTTAAGTATAAATAGTTTTCTATAGATAAACTAAGTACCCCTATTCCAGAACATTTCAAGTATTTTCAGACAAGAAAAGATAATAGATCAACGCTACCTTTTAGCTTCCAAATTTTGTGAATGGATTGTTGAAGTTTACCATATAAATGCTTCTTTCCAAGCACATAACCAACTCAGGCTAAAATCAATTGTTTCAAACCAACATCAATCTCTTTCTCAAAGAATACAACATTCTCTTCTAAACACGAGATATAAATAATATGTGCTAGAAAATTTGTGGCAATAGAGTGATAGATTATTGGCTTAGTATTGCATGAGAATTCAACATACACTTAGGTGAAAGAAACAACTAGTAGAGACACTATAAGTTATTATGTAGAAAATCTGGACAGGGAGATATCCACAGTCTGACACAGCTGAAGAGATTCATTATAAACGGGAGATTACATGTACTATCCTTTGTCCCATAGACTAAAAAAGAGTTGTACATTCTTTCAATTTATAAAGTTGGTGCACGAAGGATCTTGTCGCAAGAAATGAGTGGTGGCTGATGATGATCGACGGTGATCAACTAGTGGTTTTTGAAGGTGGTTGGTAGCAATCAAATACTGCAGAAGTGATGATGAACTTCTGCTCTTTCTACATGCTTCAAGCTCCTCTCTTTATTCTCTTTATGAGAGAGGTGAGGTTCTATTTATAAAGTCTCGGTTGCAATTAATGAAAGTTTATTAGCCACTCTAATCAAACCACCCAGAGAGGTTCCATTAATCAGACGACATTTGAGTGCCTTAAAAACCGATATCAAAATTGAGCGATATTGGGCTCATCAGATTTGTTTCGTTGAGACACTTGATTTGACTATGGGCTCGCCCAATTCAGAGTTAATTTGACCTTTCGCATATACCCAAAAAATTTTCAAAAGCGGTTTAATGTTTTGGTTTGAACTTGATTTCATTTGGATTGGACTAATTTTGATATCATTGGATTTATGTTGTCGAGCTCGTCAGTTTGACTATAAATTTATTGAAATCGGAGTTCTGAATTACTTTTGATGAAAATTTGAATATTTCTTCCTCAAAAGATTGCCTAAGCCCATGCCTGATGATGAAAAGGAGTGGAAGGAAACGAATCCCTAGTAGAGCAACAGTACGCCACTTTTCAAATACACTGTTAGATGTAAGATAAGATATAACTAATCACATAAAATTTATCTCAAAGTCCTTAAAATGAGTTAAAATTTGAGCATGCATGCCTGTTTGAACGAGCATTAGTAAGTATGCAATAATATATAAATTATTTTGTCTGTAGAATTTTATAACTATTCTCTTGTTTTAATTAATAAACCAAACCCTACCAAATGTTATTAAAAACCGTATCGTTCCTTTCACATTTTATAATATGATTTAGATCAAAATCTCTATTTTTGAAAGAATTATGAATATAAATCAAAACCTTAAAATCTGATATTATTGAAGAAAAGTGATGCATAAGCTATGAATTAGTATTATATTGTATAATTAAAGGCAAATTCTGACAATTCAGTGTTTGTGTGGGTTTGTGTGTTTATAATAGATCTCAAACAATGCTGTCTGATGTTCAAAGTAAAGTCAGATATGAGTCTATAATTTTCTATAAACATAATTTAATATTAGTTGTGTTCCATTTTTACAAGCAGTCTTTAAGATATGATTCTGGCAGTTGATTAAGAATAATCCCAGAGTTTGCTAAGAGTGACTTCGATAGCATCTATATATTACACTTTGATATGCTGCTATTTTAGAGCGTGCCTCAAATCAAGTTTGAAAAGAAGAAAATAAAAAAAAAAGGAGAGATCAAACCATCTATCTTCTAGTGGTTTTAGATAATTTTTATAAATGATTAACTAGTTATAAGGTTTGAAACTGCATTAGTACATGCATTTTGCTTGATGTTCAGATTTGCAATTTCAAGAGCTTTAGGTGTTGTACTAGATATGATGACTATTATATTTTATATTTTTTTAGGCTTTATTGTAGAAGTTATACAAGATTTCATGTTTAAAGTCTCAAATTTTAAAATGAATTATGACCGATTGATAAAATGTGTTATGTTCATTCTTTAGTCTTAATAAGTTTCTCAACTTCCAAATTTAGATTTGAATTCTTAGTCAATGTCTCATTTTTTGTTGGTGGCCAACAATATTGATTCATTTGTTGTTAATAATGAAATTTCTACTGCTACCAAAATTGCTTAAGAAAATTGTTCCCTCACCTTCTTCAGAAATATAATGAGAGATTTGCTATCACTTATGATACTTCATTTTCATTATATTAATTATTTCTTAATGTTTTTTCCTCACCTCCATCTCCTTATATCTCCAACACAACTTAGATATCTCTTTTTTTGTTTTTAAGAGGCTACTAATGCAGAGAAGAAAAGCATAAATCCATTCATGTCCAAACTTGGAAGCAACATATATGAAGTAATAAACTGTCTAAAAAACTATTTGCAGCTTGTTTCTTACCGGCTTCAACTGATAATGCTTTATGAACTCAAGGTTTCAACTGAGCTAAACTTGTGGTATCAGATAATATGGAACAACCATTTTTTAAATCAGCATTACCCCAAATCGAACTTTTAGTAGCTGGTCATTGTTAGGGTTTCCATTGTTTTGATTCGATACACAAATATATCAACTGGCTCCAATAAAAATATTTGTGGCACTTACTTTAGTAATTTTTTGTGATTAGCAGTTCTAAGACTATTATATGTGAGATAAAATAACAATTACTATTAAACAAGTGACAAAAGATGTACGTGGAGAATCAAAAGTTTCTATAAATAAAAATAGTTTGTGGTGGAAAAATAATATGCAAGAAGAGATAAAATATAAGAAGTTAGATTATAAATATTGGTTTAAATATAAAAGTTTAGAGAACTGAGAAAAATATAAAATGATCGGTTGGGAGTTTAAGAAAACAATTTGTAAGTAGGAAGTCTAACAAAACAATCTGTATATATATATATAAACTTCTTAAGTAAAGTGTATTAAAGATGAAAATCAAAAAGTCCTTTTCTTAGAAAAAGATATTCAACCTAAGTGGATTATTTACTTTGATAAACTTCTTAATGAAGTTTCTACAAATAAGATTGATCATAGTGAACTTAATATCATTAATAATAATAAAATATTTTTTTTTACCATCACATTAGTAAAAAAGAAGTTGAAGAGGCCTTAAGAAAAATTAATGGTGGAAAGTCTGTAGGACTTGATAATATCCCAATTCAAGTGTGGAAGTATATAAGAGATTTGAGAGTTACTTTGCTTACTAAACTCTTTAATATTCTTTTTAAAATTAAAAGGATGCCTGAGGAATGAAGGACAAGTATTTTGGCCCCCATTTTTATGTATAAAGGGGATGCACAAGAGTGTGCAAATTATAGAAGAATTAAGTTAATGTGTCATACTTTAAAATTGTGAGAGGGATAATTGAACATTGGTTAAGATGTGTGATAAAGATTTCTCCTAATCAATTTGCATTTATGTCGGACAGGTCTACTATGGAAGCTATGCATTTACTGAGAGGTTTGATGGAGAGGCTAAGAGATATTAAGAAGGATCTACATATGTTTTCATTGATTTAGAAAAAGCTTATGATAAGATTCTAAGAGATATGACTTATATTCAAGCCATTAAGGATATGTATACTAAAACAGTTGTGTTCAAACAGAAGGAGGATTGACCAAATATTTTTATATTTCAGTTGGATTATATTAGGGATTGGCTATAAGTTCATATCTTTTTGCTTTAATTATGGATGCTCTTACTGGACATTCACAGGAGAATGTACCTTGGGGTATGCTTTTTCCTGATGTTATCCTTCTTATGGATAAGCCTTGAGAGAAAACTCAAGAAAAACTTGAATTGTGGATGTTATCCTTCATTTCAGTAGAACTAAAACTGAATACATTGAATGCAATTTTATTAGTAGTATCTCTAGTGACAGGGTTGTAACTATGGGTGATCAAATTATTAAAATGTGTGAACATTAGATATCTCAGGTCTATTGTTCAAAGTGATGGTGATATAGATGAGGATGTTATTAGTATAATTCAAGTTGGTTGGTTGAAGTGGAGGAATGTTTCGGGCCAATCGTGTGATAGAAAAGTACTGCTTAGATTGAAAGAATACTT